AAACCAATTAGTCATTTAAATTTGGGGCTACAGTTATTTTGACTTTTGTTGTCTCCTACACCATCTTTGAGCAGCATGGTTTAGATTGTATAGATTAGGACAGAGTGCTTAATCAACAAAAGATGATTATCCCTGATTTTTTAAAAGATATTTATTTATTTATGAATACAGAAGAGGGGTACAGGCCAGAGGTGCAGGGGCGGTGAGAAGATTCACCAGAGACAGAGTAGGGAGCAGTACAGGCCGACTGACAAAGTACAGTGCTGATGGGAACAGCAGGTGGGTCAGGAGAGGTCTACTGCACCATGTGGTTCACCTCTGGGACAGGGATTGAACTCATGCTAAAGTGGCTTTAGCTTCTTAGTTCTATGCTTTAACCTGCTGCGCCACCAGGGAGGGCCCTATCCCTGATTTTAAGTCTGCAGGGATATTGACATCATTATTACTGTTTTAAATATCATTTAATAAATCTTGAATTTTCAATAACATTTAATATGCAGCAGCACACACTAATAAACAAAATTTAATTTAGTCAATATAAAACATATTCTGTACCACTCAGCTTTTAAACTTTATTACAGTGATTAAAAATGCAAATGATAAGAATTGCTGTAAGAAAGCTGAGTGTGCTATGACTTTTAAGTTAAGACCTCTGGATACTCAAAACACAGCGAGATTATATTATAACTAAAGAGGAATTCTTTGTGCTTCCTCTTGGTGCTGAAGTTGCTCATATGCCATAGTTGCAAAAAACAAGAACTAAATTTACAGCATATTTATGCAAGTAAATACTCATCGTAGGTCACAGTGATGATCAAATTTTATGGTGGATGAAAGCACTTACGGATCTTGTTAAAAATACAGATTCTGGGCCCTCCTCCCTGGTGGCGCAGCAGGTTAAAGCACTGCACTCAGAAGCTAAAGCCACTTCCGCATGAGTTAGATTCCTGACTGCCCCGGAGGTGACCACATGGTGTGGCAGACCTCTCCTGACCCGCCCGCTGCTCCCCGCAGCAGTGTATTTCCTCGATCTGCCTGTTCTGCTCCCAACTCTGTCTCTGGTGAAGCCTCTCGCCACCCCTGAGCCTCTGGCCTGTACCCCAGTTCTGTATGTACAAATAAATAAATCTTTAAAAAAAAATGCAGATTCTGATCCAGTAGGTTATTGATGGAGTCGGAGGATCTGCACTTCTAATAAAGTCCCAGAAGAATCTTATGCTGCTGGTTCGCAGACCACACTTTTGGTAACAAGGGTCTCGTGTGAATTTAAAATGAAAAATACTTTCCAGACCTGAAATCTTGCCCACTTTTGATGGCAAAACAACAGCAAATGAGGAATAAGTATGAGTCACCTTTATTTTCCTCAGAAACCATGCATACATTAATAATATGAATTATTCTGAGTTTAGCTGGGCAAACAGTGCTGATGGTGGCATTACTGCCAATGAGATGTATCCCTGTATACTGTTCTGGTTAGAAACATTCAGTGGTAACTGTTCCTTCTGCAGCATATTTGGAAACATTCTTTTCTTGCTTTGTATAATGACTATAATTGTTTGAATTTGACACATATTACAAATTTGTCTTCAAATTTGCTTTTACATGACTCAAAATATTAATATGAAGCCTAGAAAATCCTTGAAATATGAAATAAAAAATAGAGATGTTGGCAGAGATTTCTATTTTTATTAAATTATTTCTAGCATCAGAACAATGGATACATAGATATTGCCACTTGCCTTTGTCCCAAAGAACTCTGCCTTTTCCAAACTGCTGCCTCTCTGGTTAGTTTGCCTTCTTCTGCCAGTTTACCTTAATGATTCTCTGGGGGAAACAGAGATTACAAGAAGAGATGTTTTCTCATCACTATTACAGTCATAGAATAAAGTTAAACTCATTTTCTCCTCTCTAGAGTTCTTAAAAAACAACTTAATTTGCAAAACAAAAAAACCCACAAAAATATTATTTTGTGATTCAGTTTGTGTGTATCATAAAATTCTTATTCAACAGAACACCATTCATACCTGCTATTGGTTTTATGCTGGTCTATCTCCTTGAACAGGAAAAGCTTTTTTTTGCTTCAAAAATACCATAATGTTTGTGCTCACATTCTAGATTTGGATGACAATTTTTAGCTTAATCAAATGAGATATATAAATTGCTAGATGGTTCTGTGAATCAATAGTATCTCAAGATACTGACATTTTAAATGATAATCAGTCAAGTGTCTTTGCCCACAAAGTTCATATTTATAGACTTTGAAGAAAGTATTTGTACCATAAAGAGGATTAAAGTTCAAAACAGAGGTGGAAATGTTTGACTAAAAGAGGTTACCATGTGAACTTTTAGATCAGGGAAGTGGGGAAATTGTGGAAAATCTATAGAGTTGTTTTGCTTTTGTTTTAAGAAAGTTTAGGGAAGAACTCTGACTATAAAACTCAAGCTATCAGAGTGGGAGAGTGGAGATGGGAGAAAAAACGTGGGGGGGGGCACAATAGGCTATGGTGCATTGTGGGAGTTTTGGTGACAGGCATGTAGTGGTAAGTTACATCTGAAAAGGTTTGAGTATGTTCCTCTGAATTTTACACAGTATTGCAAAAAATGACACAATAAAAAATGAAAATTCTAGGTGAAGGGGAGTGGGAGCAATAGGCAGAGGGAGTCAAGTAGACAGTGATGACTAGCACTTGAACTATGGTGGTGGGTGTAGTGTGGTATGTACAACTATCAAGTTGTGAGCTGTACTTCTGAAACGTATTATTATAAACCAGTGGTAAGTCAATAAATATTTGTAGAATAAAGAACAAAGAAAAGGCTATGCAGGATGTTAGGCTTTCTGTCTAGGCTTTCTGGAATGGTACAACATGCTCCTGTAAGGAAGTTGGACTGTGGTTCCATGAAGATAAAATCATGTCTGTCTTATTTGTCAATGTATTTCAGAACTTGAGACAGCACTCTTACATACCAATCTCTTAATAAATATGAAATGAGTGAAAGAATGAGTGAATGAGGGCCTCCCTGGTGGTACAAGTGGCTAAGTCTCAGCACTATGAAGCTGTCAGCAGCTACTGAGCAAGAGTTCAATTCCTGGCCAGGGAGCTAACCTACATGATACAGCAGGCTTCTAAGTTGCCTGCTGTTCCCCTCAGTAGTGTATTTCAGTCAATCTGCCTGTCCTGCTCCCCATTTGGTTTCTGGTGAATCCTCTTATCACCACCACCACCCCCACACACACCTCTGGCTTACACCCCAGCTCTTATAATAAAATAAAATAAATCTTATTTTATCTACATGCTTCTATATGGTAGTTTATAACTTAGAACTAACATGTGCATTCAGTCCTCAGCAGCCCTGTGTAGCAAACTGAGCAGGTATTTTCCTTACTTTTGAAATGAAGAAATAATATACCTGCCCAAGAGAGCAGTGGGGTAATGAGATGGAACTAGCACTTCTACCTGCTGATTTCTATTTCAGTGTGCTGTCTGATAAAGAACAACAAAACAATCACTAAATGGCACTTTACTATTGACAGTGCTTATATCAACGTGTCTCAGTTATCAAAGTAAAGCAATGAGTTTATCATTCAAGGTTTAGACATAAAAATGTTAAGGTCTAAAAAGGGTAAAGAAAATTGTCCACTGTTGACTATAATTGGACTCTGATAGTAATTAATCCATGTGCCTAGCTTAGACATTTTAGTTATTTTGAGTTTGATTTCTTGGTTAGCTGGTCAGTTGTTTTAGGACCTCAAATATATTGAGTTGGATTAATCAATTCTTTGGCTCACACTCCTCACTAGTTGAAGCTTGGCTTTATTTTATTTAGTTACATAGTTAATTTTAGCATGGCAGTAAATCACTACCCAGCATAATAACGAGACTGAAAATTAACCTTCATATAAAATGCCTCTCCATCTCTTTTCCCTGCCTCCTCTCATTTCATGTCACCAATATTCTGAATACAATATTCATTGTTTAACAGCTTTTCATATAGTCATATGTGGATATATATTTATATTCCAAGGGAATTTGTTTCATTTTTTTAACTTTATGATCAGAATATCATTCTATATACAATAATTGGGAAATTATGCCATGCTGTATATACCTTGGAAGGCATGTTGTGGTGTGATTAATTTTTTTTTTTTTTTGCAAACAAGTCTAGGTAATCACGGTATGCACATGGATACCCCATGGTGTGCATATGTTTATGTACATATTATAAAGTACTGACTATAGCAAATTATCCAGTCTCTTCAACTTGAAATATATTTAAGACAACTTGATTCTCTACCTATATATTACATAGTAACGGTTATTCATTCAACAAATATGTTCAGGGTGCTACCACATGCCAGAAGTTATGGCATTGTGCTGTGACACATCCGTGCAACTATACATACATCCCCGAACCCCAAAATCCCTGAACTCACGAAAAAAAAAATTGTGTATATAGAGAAAATAAATATGTGGAACATACAAGCTGTTAGATGATGTTGTTAGAGAGAAAAATCATGGGAGGCCGTTTGTGATTTTAAAGAGCGCTCAACGATGGAGTGTGGGTAAGGAGAGAGGAGAGAGTCCTTAATCACCAAGTGACAGGGAGGTAACTTGTGAGAGCTAAATGAGAACGAAGTAAACTCTTCAGAAACCCCCACGCTCAGTTTTGTTATGCCTGTAGGATGACGGGGACAGTTGGTATTGCTGGTCCTCAGAGAAATGCATTTGCTTTCCTCCCACTGCTTTCCAGTTGGTCCTCCACTCTGCTGGAATTGCCTGGGAAGCTAACGCTGCACCTGAAATGATCGCGCGACCACCACCAGAAGACACTTAGCCGCCGTGTGCGCGCATCCCGAACACGCGCAGAAAGGGCGCGCGCGCCCCCCCCCCCCGCGGCTGCTCCCGGATCCGCCGAGAACGCGCGCGCGTGCCCGGCCCCGCGGCCTCTAGGCAGGGACGCGGCCCGGAGGGTGGCGCGCGCCCCGCTCGGCAGCTGCGGCTGCGGCTGGTGTGGGCGTTCACGTCAGGGCTGGGAGGAGGAGAGGGCTCGTGGCGAAAAGAGTGAGAGAGACATGAGGCAACCCGGCAGGAAGCGAGAAAGAGTTCGGAGGAGGAGTGAGTTTTAGAGAGGCTGGGCGAGCAGGACCTGCGCCTGTGTGAGAGCGTGGCCGCCAGGGCTCCTCGCCTCCTCCGCGCGCCTCGCCGTGTCCGCTTTCAGCACCCAGAGTGGAGAACAGTTCCCGGCAGCCTGCAGCGCTGCCAAGGGGCCGCCGCGGGCCGAACTACCTGGAACCTTCGACCTGCCTCAGAGGCACCCCTTGAGAGCCCAGTGTGCACGCCGCCTTCTCCCCTCTTTTGGCGTGCAAGTAAACACGGGGGGAAAGCATCCGGCGGCCTTAGGGAGCCCTGAAGAAGCCGAAGCAGAATGTACCAGGGACACATGCAGGTAAGACATTTCCACAGAACTCGAAAGAAATCTTGGGGGCTAATATAAGAGCGAGGCTGTTCATCAAGTTACTGTTTTTGAGTGCTGCCTTCACACAATTCAACAAGTGAAGTGGTGCAATATGACCATGACATTTCTATCGGGTGCTACCTAGTAAAATTAGACAGGTTTCTGAGGGTGGGAGAAGAGGAGGAAAGACCTCAGAACTTCGACTGGGGAAGTTTGTGTTCTGTGCTTTCCCTGAGCCTGTTTCTTTAAACAAGACCAAGGAATTTAAACAGAGGAAACCTGGCGATGACCGTGTTTCCGTTGTAATCCTATTGATGCAACTCAGCATGTATGTCAACTGAAGGGCAAACAATAATTGGAAACAAAGCTTTTTCTTTACCATCTATAAATGTTTCTTAACAATTAGAAGACTTTGCCACTTTCCTGTCGTTTTTCAAAGTGATATTTTTAAATGGTCTGTGCTGCATTTCCCCATTCCAGTGATGGGACGTTGTTATCTATCCTATGGTCACAGGATGACTTGGGAGGATGAATTGCAAACATATGTCCAAGAGGCTCTAATGTTTTCCAGGGAAGGTTCTGCCTCTGGTTATTAATGCTCATCTAAAATGAGCTGCTTTTTCTCTCTAATACAATCATTCTTTCTCTTGGTCAAGATTATTTTAACCTTGACTCCAGTTCTCATTCACGTGGTTGGCTCTTACTTATAAAAGCAGGTGTATGTATTGGGGGGAAGAATGAAATACTTATACAGCTTTCCAAAGTATGAACTTGAGCCCTTTGTACTGTTCATAAATATTTTAGTCATCAGGTTTGATATTTGGACTTCCTTTCCCTTCCAGAGATGGTCAAATACAGTTATGATATGTGGTGCTTTAACCTTAGTGTGTAACATGAGTAAATACTGAGAATGTTGCTTCTGTCTTTAGAGCAACTAAAAAGTGGATAAATAAATGTTATTGTCTTCTTGGCTGTATTACAAATATTTAATTTCCTAATCTCTGCGGAAATTCTTTTGATTTTGAGTATGATTTACTTCTCTGAAATTGGCATTATATCATATTCTTAAGTTTTAAAAGAATTTGAAATCAGCTCTACCAGAGTTCCAAAAGCATATCCCATATTAATGGCATCAATCTGCTTTGAACATTATTAATGAACTAGTGATTGAAGTATATTTCTGAATATCCATAATCAACATGATCTGGAAGCTTCTTATTAAAGCTACATTAATTGACAAGTTTAGTAACAAAAAAATGTAATGATCATTGATTCCAAAAAAAATCAGCAAGGATTATTTCTATAATCTTCTGCTTCATCGTCACTCAAAAATGCATCTTATTTATATATTGTTTATGTATTATCTCTAAACAGTTTTTCCACAAGAGTAAAATAGGTTTTCATAGACTCAATTTTCAGAAAAATGTTCATTCTCATAAAATTCATAATTGACTAATAGGGGAATTTACAAAAATTTTCCACTTTAATTTTTGCTTGAAAAAATATTTTTGTGTGTGAATGAAGAATTGAAGCAACAATCTGCTAAATTCAAGCACTGCTAAACATTCTAACTCCATTTGCTGAATATTTCAAGGGAGGATGTTTACTGAAATTTGAATTGTTTACAACAATATCTGAGGGTTTCATCTCACTTTGAGAGAATATATCAAATGTAAGATTCTGCATATGACCCCAACTTAATGATTTTTGCTTGTGTGCTGCTATAACAGCAAATATAATGGCTTGCAGTAAAATTCAACAAATATTTGCTGCGAAACTTAACTTGAAAATATCACTAAATGAAGACTGTAATCAATATGCTTACCAAAATTCCAGAACAGTAGTTTTTTTGTTTTTTGTTTTTTTCCTATTTACTAGTGACTGTTAATGTTAAACATAAAACTTTAGGTCTTCATGCTTTAGTAGCTACTACATGGTATGATCATCTAAGTGAAAACCCTACAACACAAATAGATGTTTTTTACAACCTGATTTTTAATATATTTATTTTCTGACTTTTAAAAACCCCAATATTTCTCAAAGAATAATATTTAGCCTTTATACAAATATCCCCAATATATTGGTGTATTTAAATTAAATACTCCTTCCTTATCTGAAATAGCACCATCATCTGTGTTTACCTGACTGGCCATGAGAAGAAACATAGCCCAGACATTTCCAAATATTTGTGGTTAAGAATCTGAATGCATATTTGGTAAAGTGCACCAGAGATGAGCAGATTTCCTAACATTTCTGCCAACTTTGGAGTTCATTTGAAGCACTGGTATTACTTGGCTGATACCTTAAAACAGGAATGAAACAGAAAATATTTGCAATTATTTTCTGTGCCTTCTCATTTTTCTCTTTTCTGAATCCAAGAGATTTTAAAATAAAGTGCTTTGTAAATAAGCAATCTGGAGTGGGGGAGGTGTTCACAGGAAGCCTTTAAAAATAGTCTCAAATTTAAAACTTCTGTAGTGCCTTTGTTTTTGAAATTAAATGATTTTATAAGTAAATTCTATTATTGGGTAGACATATGGTTAATTCATCCAGTTCATGTAGACTCCAAATTCATTTTAGAAGCCACAGACTTTTAAGAAAATACATCTGGTTTACTCTTCTAGATCATTAGAAGGTAAAAGTTGAAATGAAAACGATAAATAGAGCATAACAGAGTAGCATATATGTCTTCATTTCACAGTAAAAGCCACAGGTATGTTTCTTCAGAGTAGGGCCTGGGAGTTGCGCTGTTTTCCAGTTGCCTCACCAGTTATTCCCAAGGGCAATTTATCACCCCAGCAACTTAAGCAAGTGTTGTTTATTTAATGACTGTTTAGATTTACTTTTTTCCCCTTTTGACCAAGAAAGCAATGTGACTAAATATTCTTTGGCATCAGTTCTGATCTCTATTCCTAATATTCCTCAAGTACCTCTGGTATGTGTTGTATTGCCATACCTATTTGTATGTGAGCATAGGACTTAATACTGAAACTTAGAGCAAAATAATGTCTCTGAATATTTCTTAAATGGAACTTAATTTTTTGAAATGATATGTTCAACAATATAGTTTCAAATTTGAACTTTTTTTAAAATCATTAATGAAGCATCCCAAGCAATGTTGTTTGTTATCAAAGAAAGTTATTTCAGAAATCATATACAAAAAATTAGTTGTAATTTTAACTGGCATTATTATAGGCATTCAAAACAGACTTTTTGGTTATTCAAGTGAGCTGAGGAATCATTCCACACTGTCATTGCTTCACAAGACATCCACTAAAGAAAATTTAAAGTACAAAAATTATAAGGTTATTCACAGTTCTGAAGGTAACCATTTTATTTGTTTTCCAAAAAAAAATAGTTTTATGTCTTTATTTATGACCTTACTTAACCTTAGTAAAGTCTCTACAACAGAAAACAGCTTGGTTACATAAATGTTATTAATAATAATAAATGTTACTTAATAACAGATAAATAATTTATCTGGGCACTGAGGATTCATTTGGGTTCACTAGAAAGAATGAGCATTAGAAACCAAAGCAAGGTCTGATTATGGAACATTGTTTTTAATATCTAAAATAGCAGTTTGTTATGATGGAGACCCTAAACAAAACCTATCATATGAAACCTATCATACTGATCATGGGTACTTCTCTAACACATCCATTTTTGTCTTTCTGATGACACAGTTTCTATCTTGTCATTTCTTTGTTATCTCTTTGTTAACAAAAGTAAAATTAAGTAGTCAAACACCACACACACGCTCACACACACACACACACATCACAATGGTATTGCATTGTTATAGGAGAATCTTTCAAGATTAGTTTGGAGAGTCTGGATGTTTTGAAGAGAATGAGGCAAGACTGGCTCCTGAAATCTGTAGTTGATTGTACTGTTTGGTTAGGGGTTTTTCTGCTTCCCCCCTAACTCTAATGGCACCTGCCCTTCTTCCTCAAAGTCCTCCTGTACGTGATAGTGAGCATGGACACAATGACTTTATCTTCTCAAATATTGTTAACTAAAGTTCTCTTAAAGGAAATTCATGTATTGTTAAGCTGGTAGTCAAAATAATGATAGAAGTTCTAGCAAGATTCTGAAGTGGTTTCTGATATATTTATAAGCAAATCATACCTGTATGGGAAATGTTGGACTGTTAACACTGAAAAATAATAATACTTATGAAATAATGCTGCAGGATGTTTGACTAACCTGAAGCCACATTCTCCAGCTGTATAGGCTAACCATTAATATTATACACTTGCTGTAAGAAATGCATTATGTTCTCCCTGGATTTTGTTCATGGGTTATAAACATTCTTCCTAAAAATCATGTTTGAAAGAAAAAATTCCAGCATGTGAATGTTTTGACTATAAAACCTTTTTAAAGTAAAGAAAAGAAAAGGTTAAAACAGAACTTGTTAATGTTAAAATCCTGAATCTCTATTATTACTATTGCCAACCTAGGAAACATTAAGATGTGATGCATCATGTAGTCAAAACATCTGGCAGGCTGCATTTTTACACTTTTCACTGAGATCACATGTTGCCAACACATATTTAAGATAGAACTCTTTTAAGGTTTTTTTTTTCTAGATTAACTACTTGATATGTTTACAGAATAACTAGTATGTATTTCCTCACTAAAAATGAAGGTAAACCCGGCCTACTGTTTTCCTATTGGAGCTAAGTCTGAGCTCAGATTTCGGGGACTTTAGACATGTAATTTCAGATACACCAATAGAGAAATGGGGTTTTCAAGTTTCAAGAAAATGTATCACCTTTTTATGAGTCTACAAAAGGAAACTGACCTTGAACTATTGCATGTAACCCATGAATCAGAGAAAAAAAGTGCCATAAATTGGGCATTACATTTCTTTTAATGACCCTTTTCTTCATCTTTAAGTTTCCTAAGAAAGATGTTTGTATGTATTATTACATGAAATATAAACAAAAAGATAGAAAATAGGTTAAATATCAAGACTGTTGCTGATT